ACCAACAATAATATACATTATCCATAGGGGGCTTAACTAACTATTGTTTAACCAATATACATGATTACATAAGTCTTCCTATACACTTATATAAATTAGATTCAACAACTAACAGCAAAATCTTTAAAAATAAGGTAATGTAAATATCTCAGAAATTCATTCTGTTAGAAAATCGGCTTGATTTTAATGAATTTGATTTTGTTGATCACTAATCAATTTTAATTAATAAATCACTGTAAGTAAATATATTTTGAACAATTCTGAGTTAATATTCCATGTATTTTTTTTTAATCTAATTATTTATATCTTTTTACTAATTATTCACCATCTGAAATTCCAGGGTTTTCAAGATTAAATAACATTGAACATAGAATCGACAAATATGTGTGCTGTAAAGATTTATAGCGGATTATCGTTAATCTCTTGTTGAGCTAATTTAGGACATTTTGATCCTCGAAACAGATTACACAAATGGATCAGTTCAGCTTCATACTGTCAGGAACTATCTTGTTGATTAGTTCTGTTTTAATTACGACAAAGGGTAATTGATAACTATCAATTCCTTCCCTACCAGTTAGGTTTCGAGTAGGTGTAAAATTCGGCACCTCTCAGGGGGGAAGTATTCTACTCGATGGTATCATTTAGAAAAACAGCTGTCCACTTTAGACACGGTCAGGGCTAATGAGACAACAAGATACAAAGGCGTTACAAAGGTTCTCATATTTGTTTTTGATTTTTATGAACTGTACCATTTAATATTCATAATCTATATTTTTTAAATACAGACAAATATATACACCTTGTATATATTTGATTTCCCCACATTCTTTATTAAAAATTGTTTTCTTTTTCTTAAAAATTAACATAATTTATTTGTTTGAATTTCCTTTTATAAATTTACACAGAGTATGAAATAATAAGGAAGAGAAATATATAAAGCTATAAGATTTTTTATATTGCCAGCACTTTGTAAATAAAACATTACAATAACAGGACATAACTAATGTACATTTATACACAACTTGCACATTGAATAATATAATATCAATAAATATTAAAGTTCTGAGACAATATTAAAAGTAATACATACTCAAAAATATCTACCGGTGCCATACGCCTAGTCCACACGCTTGAAAATATTGTCTGTATTTTTCAATGTCTATTTGGTTCATACTTGGTAAAGCTGCTTGAAATTGCGCTAGAAGAGCTGCGTTTCCCATGCGGGAAATGTCAAAAAGTCCGGGCCTCATTCCCGCGGCTAAAGCAGGAGAAACGCCCAATGTTCCGAGGTTGGAACTGGATAAAGTCGGACGAAATGAAGAATTCGTCGGAGAAGATGTAGGACTAGATTTTTTATTGCTGTCGGAATTTCCGATAATACTCTCTATAGAAAAGCCTTTCTTGGAGCTTGTGCTGGGTGGAGATTCGGGACTCCTCGGGGGTGTAGGTCCAGTGGAAGATGTGCTGGATGAGAAAGGTTTGAGGGGACCAAGAAGCGAATTTTCCCGAAGTGAGCTTGCCATTGTAAACGGAATGGAAGGAACAGTAGATCGTCCAGGAAAGTCCGACTGTGCGAAGAAAGGTAGCTGTGATGTCATCATGGGTGACACATACGGGTACGGAACTCCTGGTCGAGAATGATGCGCGTGCATTGGGGAGGGAAGAAATGGATGATGATGATGAAGATACTGTTCGGCTGAGGGCATGAACGCTGTTGGCTGTTGCATTTCCATCATATTTCTCTTGTAACGCTTTCTTCGACGAAGGAAACTCCCGTTATCAAACATATCTTCACTGCGGGGGTCCAGGGTCCAATAATTTCCCTTCCCTGGGTTCCCAGGCTCTCGGGGGATTTTCATGAAGCAGTCATTTAGAGAAAGATTGTGTCTAATGCTGTTCTGCCAAGCTGGAAATTTTTCACGGTAATATGGGAAACGGTTCATGATAAATTCACAAATTCCGGAGAGTGTCAGTCTTTTTTGAGATGATTGTAGAATTGCCATTGTAATGAGAGCAATGTATGAATACGGTGGTTTCACAAGATTTGATTTGGATGATGACGAGGATTTTTCCGATTCGGAAGTATTTGAATTCAGTTTATCAAAATCAAATTTCTCAGCCTCATCTAATGGTGAGATTGGTGAATCACTTTCTTGAAAGCCACTGTCATCAATATCAATTTCTTCATCCTCGCTTTCGCCCGTCAGGGACTTTTCACACCAGTTGAAATTTAGATTTTCTCTATTTTCCTCAGAACTAAGAGATGAGTGTTCTTTGGTGATTTCTTTCATCTCAGGTAATCTAGACATTTCCTTTGGTAAAGTACTTATATTTTCCTTTTCTAAGTCCTTGTTCATTTGTTCCGCATTCGAATTGCGATTTTCCATGTTAACTTTCATTTCAATTTGACAAGCTGTTCGAATATTTGCCGCACATATCCATACAGAATAACTTCTTTTAAGTCTATTTAAACACACTAATTGCACGGCAATATAGCGTTTGCTTTCATAAATATGTTTGTAAATACTTTATTTGACAAGACTTGTTAATATAATCAACTCACGAGCAAAGATTTCCACCACGTGGTTAAAGTGGGTGGGGTTAAATAACCCATTGGCTACTGTTTCAATTAACCACGCCTTCTGGATTAAATCGATGCGGGATTTGTTCCATGCTGATAAGAGTATGCTTAAACTGTTAAACATAATCGCATAAATCTGCTCATTATTTCTTTGTAAAATATATAAAGATTTCGCGAATTTGGAGTTAAAAAAATCCCACTGCCTTTTTTAAAAAATTAAAAATCCTTTCCTCCTATTTTGGACCACAATTTGTGAGGTTTTAATGTTTGTGACGGTTGTCAAAGTTAGTCAGAGGTTCATATTGCTCATAATAGAAATGTTTTCTTGTTGGATAAATTCCCGGCGCGCAAACAGCGGTAGTTTAACACCAGCGTAATGACAAGTTTAGGTATTAACCCCACTAAATGGAACAAAAACATTTGGTTAGATCTCTCTCCGAAACTGGAAAACTTTGTTTTGAAAACTTTTGCTCCATGATAACAACTACTTGTACAATTTCTGTTTTATTTTTCACACTGCTCGTTTGAAGTTAAATTTACACATGAAAGGGTTGTCTTGGAAAACCAAGGAAAACAACGGAAGACGTAGCTGATTAGTGCAATTTAGGACAATTAAGATTAGATAGGTTTAAGGTATCATAATGCGATTGCCGTGGTGTGGCGACAACAACGTTTGGAGGGAATTTTATTGCTATTTCGCAGCAGACAAATATTTGCATTAAGAAACGGATGAGTTGATAAATGCAGCTTTCGAGAAACAAAATACTTGAGCATTCAACAAAAGGTGTCAAGAAGACTTTTAACGAATAAAACGGACGAAAGTACTTCAAGAAAACATTTCATTTCAGAATGATGTGTGATGATTTCAAATCTGGAATTTTCCTTAAATTTCAATTTTTAACACCTGCATCGAAAATCAATTGAAACGAAGTAATAATTATAAGTCAATATTTGAAAGGGAAATGTGTATATTAGAGTCGTATTCAATCGTCAAACGTGGTACCGTCTATACAGCAACTAGCATTGTTGACATACCCGAAGTAAATGTGTGTACAACACCCCTCATAAATTTGTCAAAAATTTATATTAAGTTGTTATCGTCAGCTAACAATTGAGCGATATCAAAGAGGAACAGGGATCGGGTTCGAGTGCCGAGGCTTCGTCTATTAGATCATATCCATGGGTGGTTCAAACGTTTATCTTCCAAGGTAATACCTGTGACATCGTAAAGATGCTCAAGTTTATTCTCATCAATGATTAAAATTTGCTCAATTTGAACAAATATAGGGATATATCCTATCACAAGACTGCGATAGTTTTATGGTTTTATTAGGTGTTATGCGTGTCAAAACCCGATTTTCCAGAAGTGTTTGCCATCTATGATAAAATTTTGACAGCAACCGTCAAAATACGGCATTAAGAATTCTATGAAAATACCATGTTTTTATACCGATTTATTTTTAATAAAACAGTATTCAGTGACATTCGGCAAGATTTTTTATACCTTGATTTCTTCATGTGTTGATTAGGGATTAACAAAAATAGAGATATTGTTTGAGGTGTCATAATAATATAGATTGTTTTTAGAAGAAAAACTAAATGGTGTGCCCGTTCCTTCCAAACTTTTTCCTGACACTGATCTGATTTTAATATACGCCAATTAAGTCTTTAATGATTTTCATTTTGTTTCCTGGATCTGGTAATAAAATTGTGTAACTGGCCGACGAGGTTTTGTCTTGGCGCGGGACATTGGGAGATTAGTCACGGACACAATAGTACTTGAAATCCTTGATTGCTTTTCATATACAATTTATAGTTGGACAGTAAACGTGTTAGGAGTAAACAAAAATGTTTCAATAATTTTATCAGAAATGTTATTGTACTTGGAATGACGCGCAGTTCCGTCGATAATGCGGCGCACAATAGACTTATCTGGGTTGCGCGATAGGTTTACAACTTCGACAAATTAAGCTTTCATCACCTGTTAATGGACAATGCATTGTCCTTCATGCCAAACTTGTATGTCATCTTGGTATACACGCAAACCTGCCATGTTTCAACATTCTCACTTTCTTTTATTTGTCCAAAATTGGAGACTGTATTCCAAAAACTTCATTAAATGCTTATCTCCTGTTTATTTCCTTCGCCTATGTCATTCAATGTCTATGATTACAATTATAGTTATGTATAATGTATAGTATGAAAGGGTTCACAGTAAGTTTATCCGATGACGCTTTATAGAAGAGCAGTCTGCCATCAGAGCTAATCATTTGAAAAGAACAACAAGAGGAAAACCATATGAAATATTCAAACGAGTTCGATTGGCAAATGAATGGAGATGAGGGAGCTTAAGTCTCCCGGAGCGCCTCGGGTGGGGACGTATGTCGCATCACCTGCGAAGGGCTAGCTATGTGATGATACCGTAAACAAACTTCTTTGTTGGGGAGAATAATAGACACAAAACCCGCAGTGGTGGCTCCACAAGAGGATCAGTCCAATTTGTCTGGTCTGGCGTGTCAAAAGAGAGAGAGAGAGTGCGTATGAGGGTGTCTGAAAGAAGTGCTTCGGTTTATTTATTTATTCATTCGTTCTTATTTATTTATTTATTTATTTATTTATTTATTTATTTATTCAGTTATTTATTTTATTTTATTTCTACGTGTATTTCATTTTTATTATAATTATTGTATTTTAATGTAGTTCTAATATTTAATTTGTTGGATTTTATGTGACTTATAAGCAACCATTTTAAGTCTTCTTTTTTCAATTTTATATCAAAACTTAGCCTAGCTTGACTACAAAATGCATCTATGTTAACGTTACATTAATGGAAATAAAAGTACCCCAAACCCTGTCAATGCAAACACGGTTAATCGGAAGCAAAACATGTGTTGGCTATATAAAGATACAATGTAACGTCAGTAACTCTTAAAGTCCATGAACATCTTCTGATAAAAATGTTCGATTTTACGATTTATTAAACAAAAACCTGAACAAAAAAAATATTACAAGAGGTTTAACTGTTGTACGTGTATTTTGTTCTGTGCGAGTTTATTCTAACTGACAATTGAGTCAAAAGTACGATTTTGAAATTAGTGCTCCGGAAAAAGAAAATTTATTGACTTTTGTGTAGCATTTCTAAAATAGAGTTTCCCTTTCGAGCAAATGCCTAATCTATAGAGGGATTATCGGTATTTATTAGTGCAATTAAAAGCTATTTAGATTAATATTTCCAATGTTTACGAACTATCCTTCACTGTTTATTTTAACGTTCACTGTCTTTTATCAAAAATAAAATCTGAATCGTTTTCTGTTGGTTTTTACAAATTTTTGCCATCTTTTGAACAAAAAAGGGAAACAGGCCGATTAAAATGAGATAAAAGGTTTTTTCTGCTACCTCTATCATCTTAAGCAGCTCTCCCGCGGGTCGCCATTGTATTTTTTAGTAGTGCTCAACATTTATTTGACTATTTTAAACATTATTTCTATTTGGGACAATTGCGGCGGGGTACTCGAGTTCTGCTGCCTGCGAACTCTCCCCGTAGACCCCTCTAAGCTTCCCTACCTGCTCGCAGGTGCGTGCGTGAACGAAACAAAAAATCGTCATCCTCTCCATATTAGCAAAATTTACATAACATTTCAATTGCACCACAAAGAATTGATTCAACATCAAATGAAGTGCTCTTCATTTTTTACGAAGCGATACGGTCACTATTTGTTCTTCAAACATATGTTTCCTTTTCTAAAACTATTTAAAAAAAGAAAACTCTTGAAGATGTCAATAATTTTTTTTAAAAATAAATTTCACTTTAGATTTTTAATATGAAAATGTTGAAAAATTATGCACTTTGTTACATTTACTTTAAATTTAGTATGTGTCTTTGCTTCCCCTTTTTTCATAGCGAGCTGATACCATCCTAGGGGCTATAAAAACACAGACCTGTCAGCTCTAATCTCCAGTACAAATATTCAATTTACAAATTGTTGAATAAATAATTCAAAAAATAAACTTAGATTTCTTAACGTCAAAACAGTTTAGTTTTTCAAAACACCTATGTCTTGGTATATATGGGAAATTTTGGACCCAACGTAAACATTTGGATAAGGACAATGGGCTGTATTTAATAGTTAAAAGTCCTAAAACAACTTTTACTGGTAAAGTCAAAACATTGAGCATAATGGAGATTAGAGGATAGATCACCCACCGAAGAACAAGTGATATTTGTTTTAAACACAGAGTATATCTCTTTGTAAACAAATGGATTCTAAGTTTAGAGCGCTGTGGTCTTGGACTACTGAAAGTCAAGTGTCTTTACTCGGTACATTTTAGAGAAGAAAAATCTCATTTTTAATCAGTATCGAGGGGTTAAACTATGTATTACAAGACAATGAAAAGAAAAGGGAAATTCTTTGAATGATTGTGATATTTCCTCTGTTTTCATGTTTTGTTTTGTTTTTTAATTTTTATTTTTTCAGTAAAACAAAATATCTTATTAAATATTTAGAATTAAACTTTCATTTTAAATCTATGGTTGAAGTATAGATCATTACCAATAGATATCTTTGTAATCTAAAACACTGCTTTTAATGTCATTTATCAAGCAAGTTACCCCCTCCCCTCTCTCCCCCTAGGTCGACGACAAAAAGTTTTGATGATGCCATCATTAGTTTGAAGAAAAAAATTAAAAGATGTGAAATACCCCGATCTCGTTAGTGTTTCTAATTGACATTTTCGACTCAAAACCAAAGGCTGAGTAAATTATTCTAAAGAATTTCGATAATTTTTATTTTATTTCTTTCATAGAATAATGATCCTAAAACTAAATAGAGAGATGTCACCCAAAGGCCATTTATCGTTTGTCTAAATATCAAACAAATAAAGGCCGATCTGTATCATTTAGAAAAATTCAATGGCATCG